TGATGTAGGCGTTCCTGTTGATGAACTTGATGAACTTCTCCAGGCACCAGAAACAGCACTTGAGGCAGCACATGACGAACCTGGCGCAGGGGTTCTGAGCAGCTGGGGGAGAGACGGGTTAATACGCTCACACTGAGAGAGAGAGAGAGACGGGTTAATACACTCACACTGACAGAGAGAGAGAGACGGGTTAATACGCTCACAGCACGGTACACTCACACTGACGGAGAGATAGACAGGTTAATGCACTCACAGTACAGTACACTCGCACTAACAGAGAGAGAGAGACAGGTTAATACGCTCACAGCACGGTACACTCACACTGACGGAGAGAGAGACAGGTTAATGCACTCACAGTACAGTACACTCACACTGACGGAGAGAGACACAGGTTAATGCACTCACAGTACGGTACACTCGCACTGAGAGTGATAGAGACGGGTTAATACACTCGCACTGACAGAGAGAGAGAGACGGGTTAATACGCTCACAGCACGGTACACTCACACTGATGGAGAGATAGACAGGTTAATGCACTCACAGTACAGTACACTCGCACTAACAGAGAGAGAGATACGGGTTAATACGCTCACAGTACAGTACACTCACACTGACGGAGAGAGACACAGGTTAATGCACTCACAGTGCGGTACACTCACACTGAGAGAGCGAGAGACAGGTTTATACACTCACACTGACAGAGAGAGAGAAGGGTTAATACACTCACAGCACGGTACCCTCACACTGACGGAGAGAGAGACAGGTTTATACACTCACAGTACAGTACACTCACACAGTGTCTAATCCAGACACACTCACTCGGCGACCCTCACCTCTGAACTTGTGGTCCAGGTACTCCAGGAGTATCCGAATGAACTGGACAATCGTCAGAATCAAAGCTCCGAACGCCAGAGACCCCACGTGGTATCTGCAGGGACGGAGGGACCGAGGGACGGAGGGACAGAGGGACAGGTCAGCGTCAGGTGGGGCAGACACACACACACACACCCCCCAGTCAGGGTGAAAGCGACTCACTTCATCGTTCCGGACGCCCGCTCCACTGAGGGAGACAGCACCTCCCTCGGTGGGGGTTAGTACTGCACGTCTGTGTGGCAGAGAGGCTCAGTAACGCACACACCACACACACTTAAAACCACATGCATCCACTACACACCCATACTAAACACCTACACACAGTAAACACGAGAACCCCACAACACCCACACAGATAGAAACACCCACACACACTACACACACAGTAAACACACACACAAACACAAGAACCCCACAACACCCACATACAGATAGAAACACCCACACACACTACACACACATAGTAAACACAAGAACCCCACAACACCCACACAGATAGAAACACCCTCACACACTACACACACACAGTAAACACACACACACAAGAACCCCACAACACCCACATACAGATAGAAACACCCACACAAATACTACACACACACAGTAAACACACACACACACAAACACAAGAACCCCACAACACCCACACACACTACACACACACAGTAAACACCCACACACACAAACACAAGAACCCCACAACACCCACACACAGATAGAAACACCCACACACACTACACACACAGTAAACACCCACACACACAAACACAAGAACCCCACAACACCCACACACAGATAGAAACACCCACACACACTACACACACACAGTAAACACCCACACACACAAACACAAGAACCCCACACAGATAGAAACACCCTCACATATACTACACACACAGTAAACACACACAGAAAAACAAGAACCCCACAACACCCACACAGATAGAAACACACACACACAGACACAAGAACCACACACACAGTAAACACACACATATACTACACACCCACACAGTAAAGAAACACCACACACATTTAAATCCCACACACACACACACACGACAACCACACGCATACGCAACACACAGAAACCCAGCAACTGCACGG